GGGGGGGGGGGGGTCACAATTCAGTCCACAACACTGATTTTCTTTCTACTTGTATTATCGAGTACTGAAAGAGGAGTGCTGAAGTTTCCAACTATATTGTGGATTTATCTGTTTCTCTTTTTAGTTCTCTCAATTTACAATAGGTTTTTGGGATCTGATTTTTGCTCATCTTATGAGGAGGACTTAATGGTGGAATTATCTGATTTAAGTTATCAGATCTATATTTTTAGGGGTTTGTTTAGTCCTGGACAGAATTAAAATGGCTGTGTAAAAAGGGCTAGTTATTAATTCAGTAAGGACTTTATTTATTTTAATCTTAATTTTTAATTATTATAAAATATACATAACAAATTTTACCATCTTAACCATTTTAAGTGTACAATCTAGTGGCATTAAATATATTCACATTGTTGTACATCTACTTCTAGAACTCTTTTCATCTTGTAAAACTGAAACTCTTACCCATTAAACAACTTCTCATTCTTCCCTCCCCCAGCCCCTGGCAACCACCATTCTACTTCCTGTCTTTGAGAATTTGAGTACTTAGTTACCTTATGTAAGTGTACTCATACAGTATTTATCTGTTTGTGTCTGGTTTACTTTCCTCAGTGTAATGTCCAAAATGTTTATCCATAGTGTAGCATGTATCAGAATTTCCTTCCTTTTTAAGAGTAAATAGATATTCCATTGTATGTATATATTACATTTTGTTTGCTCACTTATCCATTGCTAGATACTTGGGTTTCTTCCACCAGTACTTATTGAGTACCTTTTATACATCAGTCATCTTTAATTATACAAACACTTATTGACTGCCTTTATGGACCAGATTCTGTTATAGGCATGGGGAATACTGCAGCAGTAAACATATCAGACTAAGTTGCTGTCTTTAGGAAGCTTCTATTTAGTGAGGACTGAGGATGGGAAGATGGACAGTACACAAAGAATCATATTTCTTGATTCTAAATTGAATTTTTTCACATTTTAGTGTTTCTAAAATTGGGTTGTACCTTATAATTTATGACATCTTAGAATTATATTTATCAGTGTTTCTTTTTTAGTGACATGTAAAAGAATGGTGTATCTTACAATCAGTTTGAATGATAGATTTGATGGACCACTATTTAATAAGGCAGTTGTTGATAAATAGTATGAAAAAATAAACCAGAGCAAAGGGAATAGAGAGTTACATGGGTATTCATAAATAAGGTGACATTCAAGCAGAACACATATTTAGTTCAGATGATATATTTTTTTCATAGTGGGACTTCCTCCTTGAAGGATGCCACAGTACATTGGTTCACATTCTGGCACAAACTTCACTGTGGACTGGTAGCAGCTTGTGGACTGGTTACTTTGAATAGCACTAGTGTAGAGGGTGGAGTACTGGCAGATGGAGGTGGACATGGGGGTTAGGGAGCATTTTGCAAGATGAGCTCAGATCTTGCAGGCATGGTAAGGGCAAAGGTGATACAATTGTCCATCGTAGTAACTGGCAACAGTTCTTCCAGCTGCCCCAAAAAACTTTGGAGTCATCCTTGACTTCTGCATTTGCCCATATTCTTCTATACCCAGTCAGCCAGTGAATCCTGCCTGCTGTACCTTCCAAACATCTCCCAGTTCTGACCACCTTCACCTAAACTACCCTAGCCCTGGCCACCATCACGTCTTGCCTGGATTATCACGATAGCCTTCTACCTTGTCTCCTTCTACACTCACTTTCCTGTGATCTCATCTCAATTTAGCAACCAAAGTGATCCTTTAAAAACATGTTTGATCATGTGATACTACTACTTGAACCCCTCAAAAGCATCCCGTCACTCTCAGAGGAAAGATTAAAGTCGTTTTGATGGCCTATGGGCCTCTACTATTTGCTCTCCCACCTCTTTGACCTTATATCCTACCTTTTTGCTTTGTGCTTATCTGCTTTTAGCTGCCTTGACGTCCTTACTGATTTTTTAATCATGCTGAGCATGTTCCTGTCTCAAAGCATTTGTATTTGCTGTTTCCTCTGCCAGGAATACTGTTTCCACAGATAACTGCAAGGCCTACTTCCACAGGTCTCTGCTCAAATCTCACCTGATTTGAAGGGCCTTCTAACCACCCTATGTAAAATAGTACCCCTCTTTCCCTGTTAGCACTATGTTTTCCACTAAACCAGGATAAGCTAAGTTATGCTGCAGTAGCAAACTACAAAATGTCAGGGGCCTAAAACAACACGGTTTGTTTCTCACTGATGGTATCCCTCTGTTGCAAGTCACCTGAGAGTTCACTTCACACTGTCTTTAACTCCAGGATCTGGCTAATAGTATGGCCACCATCTTGAGCATTAGCAGAGAGAAAGACCAGTCACAGGCTCTTTAAGTATCTGCCTGGAAGTAATGTCTATCACATTGACTTGGCCAAAGCGAGTCATGTTGCCATACCTAACTTCAGTTAGGGATGGGGAATGAGTATGTGGCAGTCCTCTCATGTATCTTGAAAGAAACCAGGAAATCCATGATGGATGACATAGCCACACTCTTTACCCTGCATAATTTTTCTATAGCATTTATTTCCATCTGGCATATTACATATTTACCTTGGTTTGTGTATTTTCTTTTCTCTCCTGTCTAGACTGCAAGCACCACAAAAGGAGAGGGACTTTGTCCATCACTTCCTGTTGTACCCCAGGGCCTAGGATAATGCATGGTCAAGAGTAGGTGCTTATTAATTTTAGAGAATGGTTGAGAATACTAAAGCATGTCATTCATTTATTCATTTGGTGACATATAAGCCAAGTTGGGAGTGTGCAGCAGGGAGGTTTGAGGAGAGAGGATGAGATGGTGTGAAATAAGTTGAAGAATAGACTTACTAGAGAAAAGCAGTAGCATTGAGATTTGAGACTCTGAACCTACCGTGAAATCTTGCAGCCCAGCTGTTTGATTTTCTCCAGTAATATTGAGTTACCTCAGGAGCTGGCGGGAAGAGGCAGCAACAAATGATGGAGCCCATTTCACGAGGATCAGTGGAAGCCCAAGTTGAAGGAAACATGATTCCAGCTGCCCCTGTATCACCCCTGCTCCATCAGGGGTGGTCTAGGGTCCTGTTAGAATAATAAAGGAGCTTGCCTTTCCAAGGAGCCCATTCTCCTGGAGTGGTGTGATTGTGGTGGTAGAAGCAGTTTTCCCTAGAGTTATTCTTTATTTCATTTACTTCTCATAACACTTTTTTTTCATAACACTTTTGAGGTAGCTTTTCTTATCTTCATTTTACAAGTGAGGAAAACTGAGGATTAAATGCTTGAGATAGAATTTAGGTTGGTTAAACTCACTGCAGTGGTGCCCTGCTATACTTTTAAGGTATACTTATTGTTTCTTCTACACTTATCAAGGCAAAGGGGAGCTCCCTTATCTGGGGGCTGGGGAGCTCTATTTTTAGATTCCTTGGAGCCTTGATTGTATCTGTCATGAAGACAGTATGCAACCACTTTCCTAATGGTTCCAGTTTAGAGGTTACAAGATCTTACCAGAGAGGAAACAGTTGGTCTATTTTTATATACTTAAACAAGCTCAGTAACCACATTACCAACTATAGTTAATAAATTTGCTCCCAGGGAATTTCTTGTGAATACTATTAGTGTTCCTAGTACCATCTGAGAATGTCTCCATCAGTGATACTTTTCTGTGGTATGCCTGTTAATGATCTGAACATTTCATAGGTGCAAGGGATTGTGCTGACCTTTTTGCCAATATGGAAAAGAGAAGGCAGGTGGCCTTTCTTTAGGAATCGTTAATGTAGTTGGGAAGGCAAAACAGATACAAAACCATGAGTATTCAAATAGTGCCTGGAAACAAGGGTTCAGGTCCAGCGGTGGGGGGGGAGCCCCTCAGGCTAAAATGCTTCACTGAGACAGATGGAGGGAAGTGGAAATGAAGGGAAGTGGACAAGGCTCTAAATGAAAAACCAATTTGGGCTCCAGTCATACTTATGGTGGAAAATCTCAGTAGGCCACGCAGTCAGTAATGCTAGCACTTTAAACCACGTTTTAATTCTTTTGAATGTGTTTATGTATGTGAATCCCACACATGCCCAAGAGCTAACTGGTCGATTTGATAGAAAGCATATTCTTCTGTTTATTTCTTTACACTTTGGTGACTCTTTTCTGAAAGGAATTTTATGAAGACACTGGCTGTAAACTTGGTTTGGTCTCATAATAGAGCCAACTGACAGTGAAGCCCCTGCCAGTAAATTCCACTTGTTCTTCAGTGCCCTTTTGTTAGTTACCTCTGCAGGTAAATGTTTTGAAATATATGTTAATGAGAACTAAATTCCAGAGTTTGTGAAGTTTATCTTCATCTAAAACAATTTTTTTAATGAATTCTCTTGTTTTTCACTCATGTTTTTTTTTTAAATCTTAGGAACAATCATTCTCAGAGTGGTTTTCTTTTTCCCTCCAGATAAGGCACCTCTATCTAAGAGTCTTTTGCTGGTCCCCAGTGCCCTGTCTCTTTTGCTGACCCTTCTCCTGCCTCACTGCCAGAGGTTCTTCCTGTATGACCTCCAAGCAGTCAAGGATGACTTTCAGGTGAGCGCTGCTTCATTGGCCTTTGGGAAGGGGGAAGGCAGATTTGTTCCTAGATTTGCCTTTTCTTTCTGTTATTCTTAGTCCCTCAAAGCCTCTAAATCTGGAAGAAATACTGTTTATCATTAATATTCTATTGACAAGTTCTTTAGTTTTATTTATTGATATTTTCAGCAAAGCAGATTATAATGAAGCAGTTGCAATACTAGGTACTATCTCTTTTTAGTTTCACTTCTTATGCATGAAAATGTAATTTATAATTTTCAAGAGAATTAAAAACAATGTTAAATCTGTTTTTTAATGATTAATATGCATGCCTAACATTTTCAAAAACCTGCATCACTTTGAATATTGATTGGGTAATCTAAGCTTTAACAGATTGTGAATCTACAAATTACTTTTATAGTGGTGGTTAAGCCAAATAGGAAGTTTCTCTTGGATTTTTGCTGCTGGGAAGAGCAGAACCCTATGATTTTTAAGATTTATGGGCTGATCTCATTGAACACTCTGGTGCTAGGTCTTATCTGTGAGTTGGAGTGTTAGTGCAAAGTGTGGTGTATAAACCTGCCACCTTTTCTTTGCTAATTAATTATCCATTTTAAGCACAATAATCCACCTTTTCTTCATAATGTAATTAATACCATTGAGGTTGGCTTCACCAAGTTTCTGCGAAGATTTTTCAGTTATTATTTATATTACTGTTTTCTGTCAGAATATAATGTAGCTTCTGTATGATTTAAGTTGCTATAATGCAATGGTTCTCAGTCTGGCTGCCCAGTCTGGCTGAGAACCACTGCTGTGAGGGATTGGAAGGGCCATTGGGGCCCTGAGTTGGTACCTTCATGATTTGGGGGGTTAATTTGGTTAATCTGGATAAGTAGGCAACATCCCCTTCCACCGTGCCACTTTATGGGCATTTATGCTCTGAAGATAAACAGGACAACCCCACTTCTGTCCAGGATTGTGAATAGCCACGCTCCCCTGCTAGAATCTCCTGAGAAGCTCTCACTTTGCTTTTTTAAGAGCAGCTACAGAGAGGAAGTTTCAGTTCTGCCTTGGGAAACTGAAACATACATGTACGTAAGACACAAGTGTACATGAAGTCCTCATGGGGTGATAAATGAAGTAGGGACCAGTATAGGATGGAATAGCCCTGGAGAACTGGAGCGATAGGAGTTTTCAATTTGACCTGAAGTAAGGGATGACAATTTATTAGCAGCAGAGAGAGGGGGGCATTTTGCTACCAGAAGCAATATGAACTTCAGATCCTTAGGAGTATTGTGTTGGATGCGTGGTTGGAGACTAGTGCACGGTTACATTGGATGAGGGCAGAAGGGGCACTTGGTGAAGGGCTTCATTTTGCAAGGGTGGAATCTCTCACGTTTTGACACTAAAGGCAGAGATCCTGCCTGAAGTGTGTTTCAGGTTGAAATGCAGAAGTAGTGCTTTGCTGAGTGCAAGTCAGTGATCAGTCTTCATAGGGAGCAGTCACCTTTTAGTAATACCCAGTGATTAGTAAACTTGTAACCAGGTCACAGTTTTCTGTGTCCTTGAGCGTAGGACAAATTACAAAACACAAATTATTTAAAAGTGTAGCTTCTAGTTTTTTTTTGTCATTAACTGAAGGAAAAAACCCCACAACAACAAATAGGGCTCTATAAACCCAATTAGTTATGCTTTAATAATTGAAGTCTTAAAATTTCCTTAATCCCACAGATTTTCCTAGTGGCTCTCAGGGCTTGGCCCTGCGTAGAGTACTTTTTAAAGAGTTTTAAATGTGGGGAATAGAAGAGTTGGAGCTGACTTTCATGGTTTCTGTATCTTTGTTCTGCAAAGTGACAGTCACCATCATCTTATAATTGTAAAGCACTAGATAGTTTATAAAACACTCTCGTGTACTGTCTCATTTGATCATGTAGATGGTTGGATATGCTGGCCTAAAGTTTCAGTGTGATTCTGGTGCAGTCATGGAATTTCTTAGGGAGAAAAGAAATTTAGTTTAGAGATTTCACCTGTGTTCCATTTGTGTGTCCATGATGGTCATTGCTAACTGATTATGGTGCTGTTTCTCCTTGAACCTAGCTATGACCTTAACATAGATTTATAGGCAGCCATTTCCATTTCAGTTAGATTGGCACGTGAAATGAATTCTAGTGGCCATCCCTAAACCAGTCCAGTGCCCTCATATTTTGGAGTACACTGACAACAAAGACTGCCTGGTGTCTTGCTTGGAGCTGAAACAGAAATGAAATGTTTTGACAGTTGGTATAATCTCTATTATCATTTGTATTACTGTTATTATATCTGTTGGCAAGAACACAGGTCATATGACCTTAGACAAAATACTTTCTTTGTGTATCTTCTTATTTTAAAAGAGTTAATTTTAACAATGTTTATAGCAACAGCATTCACAGTAGTTAAAAGGTGGAAGCAATCCAAATGTCCATTAACGGATAAATGGATTTAAAAAATTTAGTGTAGACATACAGTGGAATATTATTTAGCCATTAAAAGTAATGGCATTCTAATATATGCTTTAACGTGAACTTTGAAGGCATTATGCTAAGTGAAATAAATAAGCCAGACACAAAAGGACAAATATTGTATGATTCCACTTATATGAGATACCTAGAATAGTCAAATTCTTAGAGACGTAAAGTAGAATAATGGTTACCAGGGACTGAAGGGAGGGAGAATGGGGAGCTATTGTTTAATGGGTAAAGGGTTTCGGCTTGGGATCATGAAAAAAAAGTTCTGGAAATGGTGGTTAGGGGGGTACAACATTGTGAGTGTTCTTAATGCCACTGAATTATACATCTAAAAATAGTTAAAATGATACATTTTATTTTATATTTTACCAAAATAAAAACAATATCAAAAAAGAAAGGGTTAATATTTGTTGAACATGTCTTGTAAGGTAATTGTGAAAGGGAAATATCAAATGTTTTGCACATGTCTTTGGGATTATCTCTAAAGTTCTGGAAAATATTTAAGAAGTCTCAAAATAGGCCTTTGGGTAGTTCTTTCTTCTTTATATATCCCCTTATGTGTTTTTCACACAAGGAGAAATAGATTTAAATAAACTAAAAGTTAAATTATTTAAAAATTTTAAACCTAGTAATATTTAGCAACAGTTGCCATAAATTGTCTTGTACATGGTTGGTATGAAGTAGGTTGATCATTAAAATTAAGCTTAGAAATGGATATTATTGAGTTTATCCCTAAATAGCTTTTCAGTTACACCTTTGTTTTATTAAATAGCACAAAAATGAACATCTGTTAGCCTTTCATTCCAGCTCACGTATATAAATTTTTTTTTATCGTACTAAACATAATCTTAAAATTTTTTACAGGAAATTTACTGTTGTCTTAATGAGAGTACCTTTCCTTATTATAATAAGCAAAAAAATTTTAAGTACCCTTTGTGCCATTTTATGGAAAGAATTTTAGTATGTGAGGGTTGAGCTCATTTCTTAGGTAAAACACATATGTGGTTTTCCTTTTTGGTATGCATCATTATTTTGCTTAAATTAGAGATTACAAAATAAGCAGTATAAAGTAACCATAATAAATTTGCTAAGGAGGAACCTGAACAAATCTTACTCTTATTTATTGTTCTTTTTTAAATCCCCATCTAGATTTGGAGGCTGATATGTGGAAGAATAATTTGTCTTGATTTGAAAGATACTTTCTGCAGTAGTCTGCTTATTTATAATTTTAGGATATTTGAAAGAAGATACGGAAGCAGAAAATTTGCAGTAAGTTTTTATGTATTTTCCCTTTGCTGTTAGGTTATAGAAAAAACATTTTTAATTTTTTATTATATTTAAATAGTTGTATTTTGTTATTATTAATAATTACATGATCCTCTATCTGAATTGGAACATGGACATTAACCAAAGAAAAATTTTAAATTTAAGCCACTAGCATAATAAAATAATGATGATGATAATAGATAATAATATCAGGTATGAGTGGGTAATAACCATTTTAATTAGGATTTTGACTTTAATAAAATTCTAATCACTTATTTTGCTTAATGGTTTGTGCATTACTTATTAAAAGTAAATCATGCTATAAATATCTTTTCTTCAATATACTTAGAAATTATGGAAGTTAATGCATTTGACTAATGTAGTTTTACTCTCTCATTTTGAAAAGTCTATTCTAATAAAAACAAACATATATATATATATATATATATAACTGTATATATTTGAACTGATTCTAATTAAATAAATGTTAGTTTATTTTTGAAAGACGCCTCTATATAATGTTTTGTTTTATTTTTAGTCCTTTTTGCTGGGCTCCTGGGTTTTGTCAGCCTTGGTTGACTTTGTCCTTGTGGAAGCTATGTGGTATTCCTTTGGTATCACTGCATCCAGGAATTTGCCTTCTGGATTGTAAGTAGCTCACAAAGATTAGCTTATTTTATAACTAATTAAATCTGATTTAGAGTGTTATCATACATGAAAGTCAATAAAAGAATATTTTTAAACTTTTAGATACAGTAAAATTGATTTTATGTATTAAAAAATCCAATGTATACTTACATTTTCATTATGGTCTTGAAACAGAATTTATTTCACACTCTTTTTTTTAGCTTTGAAGTCCCATATTTTAGGAAATTTTTAATGAATTTCTTGTTCTGGTTCTGAAGATAGAATTAATTTTATGTGTTTATTTTATAGTGAAAATTTGTGTAATTTTGTGAACTAAACACAAAAATACAGAGTTTAATTAAGTTAGGTTAGGAAAAAGTTAATTTGTCTGAAGTTAAGCTTCTGAAGAATATTTTTAAAAATTGATATTGTTTATATACTTCCACCAAAGATAGTATGAAGTCAGTATATAAGTTATTTTTAGCCAACCTGCAATGGCCACCTAACTCAGAGTGTATATGATTTCATATTGTGTTGATCTTTTTTAAAAACAAAACAAAAAAGCATGTATTAGTTTATGAAATACCTAGTATCCAGGAGCAGAGTTGTTAGCACATATGAGTGGCCTTAAAGTATCTTTGAATTAAATATTAGAGACTACAACTGAGAGATACTTTGAAATGAAGATATCAGATATTTAAAATTCTATGTGTACTAACTTCAGCCCTATTTTAATTTTTAATTTGTGTTTTTGAGAACTATTAGATGATTGTATGTATTGCCTTTTTTTTTCTTGACTGTATATATCTTGATTCAAATTCACTTTGGACCTCTTTTAAAAATATAGTTAGTGATCTAATAGTTCTCACACTTACATTGTTAATATTTACATTGTAGCTGTCCTTTATGAGATTTACTTATAGTTGGCATGAGTGTCCACCTTTAGCTGTTTTAATAATGTATGATTCTGAATAATAATTTGACACAAACTTCTGTGTCGTAATTTTGTTGAGGTCCACAGGTTGTAAATGTAATGAGACCGAGAAGTTTGAGTTGACTATTCTGCTATTGTGGGAAATAGTGTAGTCATCAGGAATGATTTCATGTTAGTTCAGGAAAGCAGAAGCTTTACTGAATCATTGGTTTTTCTCAAACATTTCTCATCCAGGCCAATTCTTTTTAGTTCTCTATAAGGCCTACTTGAGTTATATAGAACAGTATTTGTCGTGTGAGTTTGTCTTAGAATAAATTTTGGGTATGAGTAGTAAAATAGCTCTTAACTCTTATTTACATTGTCCCCTTGTCTGATGACCCTTTTTTCTACTGCACATAGAGTTGAATGACAATTATTTCTTTGTATGGAATCCTGTTAACTGGTACCTATAAGGAGGATTGATTAAGTTTTGAAGTTGGGAATATTTTTATTTATTCTTAAAGCAGAAAGGCATTTACCTTTTTAAATATTAGTTCATAGCAAGAGTTGCAAACTTGAATAAATTCAAAAGTTAGAGGATCCCCTTTGAAAGACAATGTAAATGTTAAGTCAGCCATCCCCTGAATGAGGAATGTACTTGTTTTTCCTTTCAAATCATGAAACATGAGAGTATGGCTTTTAGAATCTTGAAGCTTTCTCAGACATGGACTTCTTGGAACATAAATTTTATTTCAATAAAGAAAGTTTGCATTTTATAAATATATCTTTTATTTGATGATAGCAAAGCTTCAAAAACTCAAGAGAGGAAACTACTCTCTTTTTTTGTCAATTGCTTTATAATTTGAAGTTTTTCACATAATATCTTGTTCCCTTTTTTTCCCATCAATGCCACATTTATCTCCTCTCTCTATAATTCTTCACTTCCTATTTAATTCTCTCCCATTTTTCTCCCTTTTTTTTTTTTAACTGTACCACTTTTAAAACTTCTCTTATAAATCTCACCAGTATCCAACTAATTTCTAAAGCCAATGGTTTAATTTCAGTTGTCTTATTTGACCTTTCAGTGGCACATTAAATACTTGTGACCTCCCATTGTTTCATGAAATAACCTGCCCCACTGAGTCTTAGCACACTACTCCTTCCTGGTCCTTTTTGACCTTACCGTCTACGGCTCCTTTATCAAGCTTATTTCAAGTTCTTTCTCTGGGCTATCTTGTGTACTCCCATGACTTCAGCTACTCTTGACATCTATTGTTTGTTTCCCAATTCTCTATTTCCAGTCCATATTACTTTCCTGATCTTTCTAGAGTCATATTCAGAAAAAGTAACCATTAGGTTTTGACATTAAAGATCATTCCATTACTAAAAGCTATATTAGGTGCTTCCAGTAACACACGCCTATCACACTTCTGCCCTTATATGCCTATTATTTTTTAACTGTTAGTATTTATATGTGAATGTTATGTTGTTTCCCAGAATCAAACCCCTCCAGAGAAGTGGAATTTTGAGTTTTTATATATCATGTTTAAATGTATCTAATTACAACACTGAATAAAATGATTTTTTTAATTAACTGGTTTAGATGATCTATAATTTTATTGTGAGAACCATGACATACATTTTCACTTTGTTGACTTTGTGTTAACAAAGCCTTTTGTTGCATTTTGTGCTCTCAAATTGAACTCTTCTCATCAAGAAAAGCCATTGCAGAGAACTTGCCATTTAATAAATTACGCAAGAGCAGATTAATCTGTGTAGTTTAAGAGAAGGCCATGACTGTATATACATACCATAACCCTAGATATACAGGAGTTATTCCTGTTGTTTTAGAAATAATTATTTGTTTAAAGGAATTTACAAAAGTATCTTGCTTGATTGTTCAAACTAAAAACTTCAAGTAGTTTTCTCTTCATTGAGAAACTACATCTCTTAGTACCACCTTGACTCCTTTATCTTATGTAGCTAGGAGAATGTTGTACGTTCTGGAAGCTTGTTTCCTTTCTATTAAAAAATTGATGATTGACATGAGAAGAGAACTGAATTTGGTCTCTAATCCTGGTTCTTTAGCTGAGCAAGTCACCTAACCTCTTTGGACCTTAGTTTCTTTACATTTAAAACAGATCATCTAAGGGACCTTCTAGTACTAAAATGCTGTTTTATGATCAGGCTCCTTTGTGTTTCTAATTTTTTTAAAGAATATGAATCTACCCATGTTAATTATAGAAATCAATTTATAACCAATGCATTGATTTGACTCTAAGTCCCATTGGGAGGTGATCATGTTAAGAGTAATAAAAGTGATTTAGCAGAGAGGAAATTATAGTTCACTCATTTGTATACTTCTATCATATTTAGAATACAGGCTTTTCAGATTATATAGTTCACTTCATTTGAAATGGAGAAGTTACTTGGTTTGTACTTTATTAGGGGAAATTCAATGGCAAGGTCCCTGACTGGTGCTATAATGTGACATATGACCTGGAAAAAAAATTAATCTCTTATGTAATGTGATGTTCAGTCACATAAGAAGATATACTATCTTTATATTGGAGAAAGATATTTCACCATATAGCAGAAACCTTGTGTCATAGGGGAAAACTTGGATTATTGGGCAGAAATGGGATCCTGGGTTAGGTTTCCCCCATTGGTTTTAAGTAGAGTCTGATGCTTGGTAGGCTCTCAGTAAGTGCTTATTGAGTGACCATAGCCTATTTCCAAAAGAAAATGAATTTACAGTAGGGGAAGGCTGATGGCATGGTCTTCCGTAGGCTCTCTCAAGTGCTTGCTCACTAATTTTACTCTGCAGCAAATAACAGTGATGAGATGAACATAGTTATTTTTGTAAGGATCCTGGAAGTTTGGCTTGGAACACAAAATGTTGGGTTTGGACCACCAATCCTGAGTATAAATTAAACCAAAGGGAGCTGCATCTAGATGGAAAATACTTTCATCAAATTATTTCAAACAGGAGCTGGATTTTTTTTTTTGCCTTCTGACTGGTTTGACATCATGATTCACTTGCACATAGTATTAAATCCAAAAAGTTAAGTCAACTATATATTTAGATAAGGCTTGAAAATGAAACACAAATTGGATGTTTTCTACTAATACATCATGAAAATGTTCCTTACAAGTTTTAAGAATAAAAGTAATGAATTTATTAGAATACTTTAGAATATTTAATTATGTTGCCACAATAAGATCCCACAAAAGAGTTTTTAAAGTTTTTTTTTTCCAGGAGAGAAGTGACTTGATAATATACAAAATATCCACTCACTCTAGGGTAATTAGTAAAATGAATTTAAGGAGATTGAAGACAAAAAACTTATTCATAACATTTCACTGTTTATGTTGCTTAGTGACCGTATACTGCCTGATCGGAAGCTTTTTCTGCGCACACTCCGAAGGTAATTGCGGTATAGCATGACACTAATGACTCGAGCCTGAAATTGTTTTGAAACAATGTAGTATAGAATCACATCCAGACAGGTACTGAGGTTCATGAGGAATGTGGTAAAGGCTCCCCAGGGATTGTAGCTGTTTTCATCCCCAGCCAGCATCAGGAAAGCAAAACAGGTGTGGAAAGGCACAAAGCAGACGAGCACCTGCACCAGGAGCGTGATGATGATCCTTATAGACTTCTCCTTGACTTTTGGTTTCAGCTTAGATGTCCTGCCATGAAGGAGATTATGAATAATGACCAAGTAGCACCCAATCATGATGAACAGAGGAATCAAGAAAAAAAATATCAGTCGAGTGAAATTCAATATGTTAATAGCTTTTAAGTGGATGATGTCAGAAATCTTCAGGCAGGTGGCAGGGTTGGAAGCTTTATCGGGGTCTTCATAGAGCAGTAGGAGTGGGATGGTGGTTATCAGGGTCATTATCCAGACTCCCAAGCATGCTATCACAGCTTTGCATGTTTTTTTAAGTTCTTTGGCATATTTTGGCTGCACAATGGCCATGTATCTGTCAGCACTAATAAAAGCAAGAAGCCATAGGGCAATACTCGGATAAAACATCGTGAGTGCCCCGAGAATCTGGCAGAAGTACTCTCCAAATGGCCATTCGCCTTTTGCATAATAAAACATTCGAAAGGGTAAGCTCATGATAAATATTAGATCCAATAATGCTACATTCATCATATAGACAGTTACAGTGGTTCTCTTCTTGGTGGAACAACTGAAAACCCATAAGGCAGTGACATTAACAAATACTCCAATTATGAAGGTACAGCTGTAGAAGACAAGGGCTGCGATTTTGTACTCATCTGGGTATGAGCTGTTAGAAGAGCCAGGTTGAGCTTGATTGTGAGAGGTGCTCATCTTATAGCTTGTTGGTGGGCATGAACTTGGAAACTATAAAATAGTTGAGAAGATTAGGAGGAATAAAACCCTATGCTGAAAAATAAATGCTTAGCATTCTCATACTTGGCATGCAGTGGATTTTAATTTTGAGAGTATATTATAGAGTCAATGTATGTGCCTTAGTATTTATTAATAAATACATTTCCTAGGTATTACTACTAACCTGTACTAACTGATTAAAGTGGTATGGTGTGTCATAGGCACTGGCCACTTTATTCATTTCCTCTCTCCCCACCTCTCTTCTCCCCCAAAGAATAACCTTTATGATTTCTTTCCCCTGTAGTGTGAAATTGGGTAGCTTTTGTTTCTATAATAAGCATTCTTTGATTGGTACTAATTGGGGAAAGGCCGTTCTGAATTTTGAATCTTTTTTTTTCATTACATTACTTTTTTTTTTTAATACAATATAATTTGCCACTTTTTATCATCCTCATTATGTTTAAATGTTTTGTAACCCAGGTTACTAATATCAAATAATGACTTTTCGCTCATTCAATACAATATTAATATACAAGATATGTATTAGAAAACTAATAAAGGAACCATATGACCAGTTAATTTCTGAATAGTCACAGTAATTATCATTTGCGATCAGGAACTTTCCTTTTTCACTGTTTTATCCCCATTGCCTATGGAGTAAATTGTAGGTATTCAAAAAGTAGGTCTTTACTGAATTGGTAGGTGAGTGAAGGAAGGAGCCTTTGATAAGGCGAACCTCAGAAACTACTCTCTAGTTTGTCAGTGAAGACTTGTTTAGTTGGCCATTAAGCCTTTTTTTTTAAAGTGGTAAATACTTCTTCATAGTATTATGTTCTCTCTAAATTATCATAGTTCTAGAAACAGCAGTGTCTTGTGTTATGGTCCACAGATGAAGAACTTTACTCTTAGAGCAATAGATGAGCTAGTTTCTATTGCACAGTTGGGTATGCCTAATGCTGAGTCTTCCAGATAGTGTTTACCAGTGTCCTCGAAGCAGATCTCACTGCTGTACCTTGAGAATCAGGTATTGTTAGTATTAGTAACTTTCATGTCCTCGTTCTACCTAGTTACAGAAGCTTAAGTATTATTTGTCAAATTACATTTTAAAAAGGAATATCAAACACAAGTGATTACTAATAAGACATCATTCAATAACTTTATGTGTATGCAAAAACTAATTCCCATCACCAAAAAAAAGTTCATTTCTAATGGAAAGTAGTTTAGTGATTATATATATATATCATCAATCCCCCTCAGTGTGAAAATTCCATCACCCGTTATGCAATGCTAACTAACACCAGTGATTTTAAAAATAGAGTCACTACAGAGAAATGGAACCTTGTGGCCTCCCCTTGAAATATGGAGGTGTAAGAGGAGTTTCCTTCAAAAATGTCACTTTGTAGAGTGGGCTGTTTCTAAGTCAGCCCTGTTGGGGAGGTTAGCAGTCTGGTCAGTGGCATCATGGGCTGTTGATCATTTAAAAATAATTCAAACACTTGCTTTGGACAAACACAAGATATGAGTTTGTTTTTCCCCTCCCTCCCNTATTTAGGTGAAATATGATTTTGGAACAGATTTCTGATATTTAAAAGCCTGTGTTAATTAAAATTTCCAAATACTGATGTGACTAGAATATTAATTTCTGTCAAATGAGAAATGTACTACATAGAAAAACTAAATCTTCAGTATCATACAAAGGAGAATAATTTTGGAGGCTTCACTCTTATTTTTAACTTTCAGTGAATTTTTAAATGGTAGCAATTGTAACGTAAATGAAATGTTGTACCCTATTTTCTCCTGTAATAGTGCCTCAGAACTCCCTTCACCTGTCCTCATCCCCAATTTATTTTGTCACATAGTTCTGTTCTTACAAACCATTTTTGAGTAAATCCCCCCCCACACACCCCCCCAATTGGGCTCAAACTGCTTATATGTCACCAACACTTGTATTCAATTTGCTTAAGGCTGAAAAAAATATGCATGATGCATGTGTTTTAAAGGCATTGCCAGTATAAGTTGTGCTCCGCACACACAGATAAATTTTTAGATAAATATGGAAAAGTGATTGGCTTTCAAGTCAGCATTTTAAAAGCTTTAGATTCCATTATGATCGATAGCCTTTCTTTTCTTAAAAACCTTTAAGTACATTTTCTGAAACATTGTAACTGAAACTAAATGATTACTCTTAAATATGCTTATAATTTATCATAACATTTTCCTTAAGTTGAACAAAATTACATTTACTCTTAATGTAAAACAAAATTGAAAATAAATGACAAATCATATTAATAATATAGGAAGGTGACAGCATAACTAATTTCAAGCTTCTTCACCAGCATGGTTTCAGTAATGTATTATTAAAATAAAACAGTGATTTAGAAATTTAGTAAGTAGAGCATTACTTCCAAAAATCTGTGATGAAGTTAATTAAATGCGACTTACCTCCTGTCCATCAAAAGGCTGTACTAGAGAGAAACATTTTTTCGGTATACCCAGTTCTGTAAAAGAAGTATCTTTGGGTTTCTTCTCTTTCGGGAAATGGTATATTTAAGAAGTGGTATGTTTCTTTGTTTTAGGCTCTCCTGTTGCTTTAAAACGTTGTTTCAAATATAATTCTTGGTATCGCAGTTGGTACTCGCTGCTGTTTTGTCTCTTTCAGGAAGTACCCTCAGAAATAAGGCTTTTCAGCTTCTGACTGGATGTGGTTTTTCTCTTTCACAAATGATTTGTTTATGAAGTCGTGCTCAGCGTAAGCTTCCTTTGAAATGATGCCATGTGTTTAAGAAAATCATACGAAAAGGGGAAAATGTCTTCAATTTTTTACTTTGATGCTTCAAGGCTGCATCATTGATTGAAAGAGTATAAGATTTCTTTGACTAGAATGGGATTCATAGTATAGCTTCTTTATTTTCTAAGTCATGTGACTTTGTCTAGTTACCTACCCACTCTGAGCTGTTGTTCCTACTTAATGTCTAGATAGTTAAAGTAGAGATAATTCCCATTTGATAGGATTATGAGGACTTGAAACCAGAAAAATCCCATGAATTTAAAATAATACCTGACACCCTTTACTGCAAAGTTCCTAAAATCATAGAATATCTTTTTACTGTTAAGATATTTTTAAATGGTTAAAATTGGAATCCTCAATTATTTGCTTCTGCTTTGCATATACGTGTGTACTTCAGTTTGCTTTATTTTTTAAGTTCCCAGTGCTTTATATCCCTTTTCTGTCACGTGGAAGTCTAGAAATAATTCCTTTTGCATAAACATCCCTTCAAATTGCTAAGAAAGGACTCTGGCAGTCTTTAGTGGAATAATTTGCATTTTAGGAGTATATTAACCTAAGGAGGGAAATGAAACCAACGGAAAGGGAAGCGAGCAACCCCAATCATTGCCTGCCTAAGAATATTAAATTTTTTACTTTCTCTTTCCTTAAAAAAACAAAAATCATCATCTCATTTGGTTGTCCTAAAATTTTAATTATCTTTATATTTGGTTATGCATGACTAGTCAACTTTTATAAGGTACATAAACTGAAATTAACTTTTTTTAATTTAAGACAGTTTGAAAGTCCATGGTTTTTCCCCCCCTCAGACAAAACCATAGTAAGTCTTTGACTTATAAAAGTTATTTAAATCCTTGCCTTTGGTGATTACTTTTGATCAGGATAGCCTGCCAGAATAATAGGTAAGCAACAAGCAAAGGAACTATTTCTTGTGGAGAGAAGGATTCCAGCCCAGAGAAGACCATGCCTTGCTGAAGGACTCAGCCCACCAGGCCCAGCTTCTTCAGGCGCTGAGTTACTCCCGTTTCTGCCCGCACTGCTGTAATAACTTCTTGTTTGAGGTGATCACCTTGATTTATTGACTAGACAGGACCTATTTATGGCCAAATTACATCAGTCAGTTTTTTATACATGGAGTTATATTTCCTATTCAGTGTGGGAGGGTGATATTTCAGCTGGAGATAGGAACCTCTTATCTGTAGATCCATTTTTTTCATTGCCTTGATTTCATATAGCCTGTGACAGCGTTCCTGAAATTAAGTATTGCTAGTATCCCGTGTGCTGCTAAAATCAATACATACAGTGATGGCATAGATCTCATTAAGATTCGAGTCCTTTACCATGCACAGGGAGGTTCTTCCCTCTGACTTGCCCCTCTCTCAAGTCTCTCAGAGAAACGCAACAAGGGGCAAGTCAGGGAATGCCCATAGCACAGCTTGAGGCTGGGTCAGCTGTTACTCGTTTCCCACCTTCCTCTGCATTTTAGCCATTGGAACCTGCATTTGCTCTTCTTTGCCTTTCCCATGCTGTTCCAGCCTGTAACATTCCTTACCATTGCACTCCCAACTCTTGGCTTGGCCAGCGGCTACTGATCCTTAGTTTTAGTTTCAATGATGCCTCTTCCAAGAAGTTTTCTCTGGCTTCTAAAGCTGGGTTGGTTACTCACCTCTGTAAGGTTCCTTAGCACTTGGTACTTACCCCTGTAGTGGTGTGTGTTTGTATTATTATTGCATACTTGCTTGCCTTTTATCCTGCAGTAAACTAAGGTCCTTGAGGGTGGGCATGTATTGTATATGTATGTGTATAACAGACTTTTAATAAATATTGCTTGACTGTGTGACTGAAAAAGTAGGTGAAGGAATGGAGAGTTGAGGGAGTCATGGACCAATTGCTGAGCCAGGTGTCAGCATCAGGGACATTTTGACCAGTTATAGGAGGGACCTGCCAGTCACAAATCAGATGTGAGACTTAGGTAAGGGACACAAGGGCAGGGACCCTTCTCTCCATGATCCCGGTAGCATTTATCATTCTCTGTGTTCCTGGCTCTTCACAATAATTCTTCTGTTGGAAAAGAATTACAGTGAAAAAAATCTCCAAACTGTTTGGCGATCCAAGTAAACAGTGGATCAAGAATTAAACTTTTGTAGTGTCTAGTTTGCTTCTCTAATACTTGAACCTAATGGATTTTTATTCAAATAGAAGAACTTAACTCATTCAGGGACCATTCATGCAGCTTTAATTTCCTCACTTGTTTTGAAATATGAGTGAAAGGGAAATTTTTCATCTTGCAAAAGAGGGATCTTACATATTCGGGGGGGCTACAGAGTTCCCTTCACTTTATGAAATAATCTGTTTTAGCTTTTTAGTTCTATTTTGAATTTTGGTTTAGATGTTAAAAGCCCTAAGGGATTTTTTCATTTTAGTGCTTGAGCCCAGTTTGAGTGAAT